AGTGGCAGCTCCTTGGACCTGGAATCTGTGATGCAACCCCTTGCCTTGAACCCATGGGACGTTGTCCTCTGCATCTCTGGGACCATCATCTCCTGTGAGAATGCCATCGTGGTGGTGGTCATCTTCTACACTCCAGCTTTCCGGGCTCCTATGTTCCTCCTCATCGGCAGCTTGGCCACAGCTGACCTCCTGGCTGGTTTGGGGTTGATCCTGCACTTTGCCTTTGTCTACTTCATGCCTTCAGAAGCTGTCAGCCTGCTCACTGTGGGGCTCCTGGTCACCTCCTTCACAGCCAGTGTCAGCAGCTTGCTGACCATCACCATCGACCGCTACCTGTCCCTCTACAACGCCCTGACCTACTACTCGGAGAGGACAGTCACCAGGACTTACATCATGTTGATCCTCACCTGGGGAGCCTCCATCTGCTACGGGCTCCTTCCCATCATGGGCTGGAACTGCCTGAAGGATCCTTCTGCCTGCAGCATCGTCAAACCGCTGATGAAGAACCACCTCATCATCCTCTCTGTCTCTTTCTTCATGGTGTTCGCCGTGATGCTCCAGCTCTACGTGCAGATCTGTAAGATAGTGTCCCGGCACGCCCACCAGATCGCCGTGCAGAGACACTTCCTGGCCAGTTCCCACTACGTCACCACCCGAAAAGGCATCGCCACCCTGGCTGTCATCCTGGGCACCTTCGCGTCCTGCTGGTTGCCCTTCGCCATCTATTGTCTCCTGGGGGATTACAGCTACCCAGCCCTCTACACCTACGTCACCCTCCTCCCTGCCACCTACAACTCCATGATCAATCCCGTCATTTACGCCTTCAGGAACCAGGAGATCCAGAAAGTGCTGTGGACCGTGTGCTGTGGGTGCTTCTCCTCCACTCTGCCTTTCCGCTCCCGCTCCCCCAGTGACGTCTGATGTGTCCTCCCTCCCCACCTCCTGCACCTTCCACTCACCGATTGCAGCCAGGGGGTTTGCCTTTATTCCCCCTTTTCATTCCCAAAGGCACATTGCAGGAGCTCTTGGAATCAAACAGCCCTTCCCAGCCTCATCCTTTTGGGCACAGCCCCTTCTTTTCCTCTATTTTTCCACTTTTTGAATATACGGGAGAGAAAAACATATTTTTTAATCCATAATATAATCTATATTTATGCGTGAGACAGAGAGAGAGAGAGAGAGGGGGGAGATCCTCATATTTTCTTTAAAACTATTTACGATGCTTTATTTTTTTAAGGGGGGGCAACCCCAGGAATGTTTGCCTCCCTCTTGCTTTTTTTACAACTTGGTTATTTACCTCAGATAGTTAAAATATATTTTATACGTTTGGGGAAGGGGGGGAGAGACTCGTTGCCGGAGGAGGAGGGACTCAAACCCATTCCCTTCTCCCAGCTGTCCATCCATTTATTTATTTATCGGGTTTTAATTAGTACTTCATTTGATTTCCCTGCCTCCCTCCCGCCGCCCTGCGCTGGGGCTTGCTGCCCTCTAGTGCTCGCTGCCTTCGGGCGGAGGGGCTGCCGGAGGCTCCGCACCCCACAAAACCACCAGTTTTGGGGTCCCCTGGGTGCTGCCACCCCCTCCTGGCACCCAGGGCTCCCCCCTGCCAAAGCCTTTCTTTGCACTGGGACTGGATTTGCACATTTTGGGAGGGGAGGGAGATGGATGTGAAGAAGCCCCTTGGGATGGGCATCAACGAGGCTGTAGGCCTCTCTCATGGGGATCACTCGGGC